TAGTGTGAAGCAGGCTCATATGCCTCCTGATAAAGCTAAATTCCTTCACCTGAGTGCTAGCCTAGCCTGCAGTTGAGTATTTTCTTTAAGATCATTTTGCACCCATGAGATGGAACTGATAAAACAGGCACAGAAGCCCAGTGATGCTTCCTCTCATACCATTGCAAACCCAGAGAAGTTACTGGAGGTTTTTATCCGCATGTAGGCTGGGGAAGAGTTTGGCCCTAAGGGTTGGCAGTTTAACAGTATGCACGAAAGAAAAGGATAGATGCTAAAAAAAAAAAAAAAAGTGAAAAAGGATACAATAAAATTTCATGTGACAGGCACAGGAATCAGTGGTTCCACTAGTTGTTTCAAAACAAAAATGACATTAAGAAGAAATGAGTTTTGAGAGAAAACATTAAACTAGGTTAAAACAATATCGTAAGGATCCACAAGGACAAGAAATACAAGTAAAAATTTCCTGTTATGATACAGCTTCCACGCAACATTAATTCTGTTCTGTTTTGACACTTTGCAATAATATTGTCATTATGCAATAATATTGTCATTATAATTACAGCATCTGATTTTTAAAATATTGACAGGGTCATAATTTATTTGGGTCATAAAAATATTTTTCCCCTTTTCTGTTATAATTACATGGCAGGGCATAATACTTTCAGAAAAAAAAAGAAAAATATATGCAAGCTGAATAAAAATGCAGTAAATTTTCTTGCTACCATTTTTACTATGTCTGTGGAAATTTTGAGTTCTAGAAAGATGTATTACTGCCTTATTCAGAAATACAAATATTTACCAACATTTGATAAAGGATTTACAAACAAAAGCAGAGTATTGTAGATAAAAGCCCAAATCCTGTATTTTCCTCCCCTGTATACAATTCTTACTTATTTGAGAAGTGTATTTGAATTGAATAAGGCTGTTCTGCAAAAATAAAGCTTAGAAACTAGAATTTAAATTAAGATGTTCATTGTTAACAGTAATAATATCTAGATTTTTTTTTTATGCTGGGGCATGTCTCTAATATCTCTAGCTAAAATCTACCTGTGCATTTTCATACCTGTTACCATTTTTATATTTTAAAACTACATATGTAAAATGCTTGTGTATTCTTTTGGGGTTTTTTAAATGTGTTGGCACACTTGTAATTGTATTTTTAACTGTGATCACAACGGGTTGTGTAGTTATATAGAAGGCCTGAAAGAAGATGTGCCATCTGAATCCCATAGTGCATTGAAGTTTAAAGTTTTCAGGTCAGAGAACATTTATTTGAAATTTCTGTAAGAGTTACAATCTATTAAACCCCAAAAGATATATCTAAAGAGCCCTACTCAGTTCTTGTGTGTTACAAATTATTTTGCACTATCTTCCATAAAAACAGTCCTACAGCACCAAAAATACTGCAGAAACTAATGTTGACCAGATTTTGACAAATTATTTTGCAATATCTTCCATAAAAACAGTCCTACAGCACCAAAAATACTGCAGAAACTAATGTTGACCAGATTTTGGCCTCCCTATCACATGGAACGAAAAATTTCCTGTTAAGATTGTGGCTATGACAAAGACCAAAACTCTAGCGTGTAGAACAATTTTTCCTTTTCTTTGTCATTTTGTTTTTCACAATGCATTTAGAAATTTGAAAACAATCAAAATAAGGATCATAGTACTTGGCAACAACAGAGAAAAGAAACAAGCCTTGGATAAAAAGCTGCTGAAACCAGAGACAGCCACGTCTTTGGAGCAAGCCTTTGCTAGGCTGCGCTCCAAGGGGGCCTCCATTTCTGGCCATGAGGCAAGTTTGAGGGGAGCCGTGAGCTCCCCACGCAGACACCAAGGCTGATGCTCTTCTGGTGCCTCTAACGAACACAACACGGCGCAACCACAGCCCTCGCCGGCCAGCAAGCCCCAAATCCATCGCCGACCAGGCAAGCGGTGACACAGGGGTTTGGGGACCTACCTTCACCAAGCGGAGCTCGCAAGCGTTTGGCCCCACCTCACCCAGGCAAGCGGAAGGCGAAGGACTCTTACCTGAGCTGAGCAAGACAAGAAAGAGGAAGGCGGCTTTGCTAATCCCCATTTTGGCCCAGCTGGCGGGTGCTGGAAGTTGTGTGTGTCGGTGCACAAAGTTTTATTGACTCTCACTGGAGTGAGGCGGCATCAAACAAACAAGGCAGGTAGATTAAGTTAATCATTCTCCCATGCTGTGACCCCCTTTGCCGTGATGTGGCCATTCAAACAACCTTGAATTGGATGGATTACCAAATCCGACCCAATCATGTGTACTGGATGCTGGGAAATTGTTTTGTGGGGCATGTTTTCGTTCTCAAATGTTTAGGTCTTTCTTTGCTAGAGAATAGACAGGAATAATGTTGCTGGAAAGCATAGGAAATCATGTGTTCAGGCAGAATTTGAATTTCTCCTGACACTACAGTCCCAATGGTAATTTCAGCCATGCATCCCTGTATTGATTTATAAGGACCAATTTCCATTTAATCTCAGGTTAAGCACTATTATCAGATCCAGATAATATTAACTCCATAAAGTCATTTAATTTTACTTTTTTATTAAAGAATTCCTTCTCTCCTATATTTCCTTGACCTTAGTTTTACTTTTCTTCTTCTATTTGGGAGTAAGACTGAGAGTTCATTTTAGTTCAATAGCATAACTTTATGTTTAAGACCCATAGACAGCTATTTAGGTTTGTTCCTCACCATACATTTAACCTCACCGTGCATGCACAAACTCATCCAGCGAGGATGTCAGACTTTGCTCATCCCTGTGTTATCCCGATTTCAACATCAGTTCAGTCTGCATTTCCCAAGCGGCCTTTGCCTTGGAAAAGTTGCACTGCAGCATCATTTCATGGCTTCTCTTGCGTGTTAGGTCATTGGTATTGCTTCAAAACAACATGTTCAATCAAATGTGCTAGTGACTCACCAGAGACAGGAGGGGGTTGAATACTGGATGAGGAAAACAGGCTTGAACGGGCGCTGCTGGGTCACACAGTTCAGTCTTCTGCAATTGAAGGCAAAAAGTTCATAGAATCATGAGTTCCTTTTTAAAACTAGTGAGCCGATCCACTTTCTTCTTGTCCCACTTACTTTAAGTAGAAATTGCATTGTACTGAGGGCTTGGGATAAAGCTAGGGGTGCAAGAGTAAATACATGAGAGAGGTATGCTAGTATGGGAACCAGAATAGTTGCCATTTTATGGATTATGTGAAAAATCTAGAGTTGATCCTGCTTGTAGTCCTGTGTTATTTTTCTCCTGTAGGCTGCTTGAAGCTGTTTTAATGCAACTTGTGAACAACAGCGAAGTGTGGGGTATCCGTAGAGACCAATGCTAGCCCAGGAAAACAAAGCAGACGGGGCCAAGAGAGGAGCTGATGGGAGCTGGACTCAGCTCAGGGAAACGCTTGAAGGGTGACAGAGAGAAGGGGTGGGTGATTGTGCAATTGTAGGTGGGATCGGGCTTAGCGGGTTTTAGGAACAATTACTCATTGGGAAAGAAGAATAAAATGAAGGAGTAGAGTACAAAGTAGGCATCACTAGCGAGCATGCTTTTGAGAGCTGCTCGAGTCTGGTTTAGCCCCACATGTTTTTAACAATCTTGACTCCATTCTCAATTCTCACTCCAGATCCTGGGTTCCCTCTCTCCTGCTCCACAGCCCCAACTCCCTGGCCACTGTCTTGTCCCCAGTCACAGCCAGCATCTGCTTGCCAGTCCCCGTGCCTCCTTTCCATCAGATATTATCATAGTGGTTTTTTCCTTACTCCAATGCAAAATTTGTCTTCTGCACAGCCCGGCCCTCCCCAGCACCTCTGGCACCTTCCTCATCCTTCTGTATTCCCCATTTCCTCCGAGGTATTTGCTGGGTTACTGCGTTATGGTACACATCTGGTGGTTTATAGTGTAGGAAAAAAGCAGCATATGTGGGTTACATGTGGCTGTTTCTCCTGCACAGAAGAGGTTTGAAAAACCTTGAGTTTTAATTGAGTTTGTAGAGCTCTTGGATAAACACGAGGCTTTAGAGAGTTTAATCAGATCAGCTTTTCCTACAGGATTTCAAAACCAAAGGAGCTAATTGTGGTAGCCAAAGGGGTGTTGACATGTGTCCAGGATAGTTGGGAATGTCTACATGCATCATGTAAGCAAGCACTCTTGCAAGCTTTCTTCATGTTAAAGGTCCCCATAGACTCCTTCAGGTCTACAGCAGTTGCTGCTTTTAGGCTTGGGTCTGGTTCTTCTCTCAGTCTCATTGCTTTGAACCTGGTTAAAATGCACCTACATCAGTGGGGATGCTCTTGATTGATCTCTGAGGAAAGGAAAGAAAACTTCTATTGCTATTTCTTTCAAAGATGACAATGCAGATTTGGAGAAATATTATTCATCTCTGCCTTAGTGGATCTGATCCTGGAAAACTGGACTTGGCGATATTGTCAGCAATTGTTCCTGGTACAAAAATGCTCATTCCGTAAGTTTTCCGCAAGAAAATGTCAAAACAGGAGAAGTATCTTTCATCTGCCAGACTGGCACTCCTCATTGCTGTCTTGTGACAAGGCTGTGACCTCTCAAGGCATCGCGTTTGAAAGGATCTCATGTAAACTATTGATTTATCTGTCTCCTTTTGTGCCTTTCCTCCTTCAGACCAGTTCTGGTCTTGTGGTGTTTGTTCTCATTTATTTGACCACTGTGAGGCCTACCGTAGGTGGAAGTTTATCAGATCTTATTTCAGAGTCAGGGTACATTAGTTAGCACAGTGGTTAAAATATAAACAACAGTAGGAGGCTTTTTAAATAGAAGTTGACCCTTGAAATTGGGTTTACTGTAAGCAGAGAAAAATCCCCTGCAAAAGAAATTGCAAACAATGTTAGAACACAGGTCACACCTTGTTGAATAAATTCACTTAAACATAATTTCCCTAAATTTCAGAATCAGAAAAAGTCAGAAAACAGCCACTTAGATATCAGTTATTTGCTAAGAGGAGAAAGGACCAAAGGCAAGTTTCAGTTGCTTGGAGAGGAAAATCTCAAAAAGCCGCTGTCAGGGAGGGCACAGCCACAAGAGTGGGGTGAGCGTGAACCGAAGGAGCTCATGTAAGAGCTCCGAAGGGTGATGCTATGGCTTAGATCCATGGTCAGCTGGGGAAGAAGGAAGGTATTTGTACTTTCTTTTCAAAGACAACCAGAACAAGTGACAAAAGGGAGACTTGCATAGCCCTGATTCACAGAGCCAGGGGGAACTTTGGGCGGTGACCACGGAGGGATAACGTGGACGGCTTCTGACTGCAGGACCTGCTGCGGGTAAGGTGGGAAGGGGTTCAGGAAGGAAAAAAGTAGCCAAGTTAAAAATAAATTCTGTCCTTGCTCTACACATGAAGGAACACAGAGGGCAGAAGACCTGGTGGATAAGCTCATGTCTGCAATTTCTGGCCGTAGACGCTAATGTATCCAAGGAAAGGAAAGTGATGGTGACAGTAAGGAAACACAGAGAGGATGTTTTTCCAGCAGTGAAAGCTTTAGTCTTTGAGATGTTCATTTGTTCTGGCTGCTGCCAAACATAAGAAACCAGCAGAATAAAGTCAGGCAGACATACGAGAAGCAAAGAGGTTAGGAAGTGAGCAAACTGAATGTCATCTTTATAGTAGAAAGAGCTAAAGACTTAACTGCTGGGGTTTCTGTGTTGCTGAAAAAATATCTGGAAAAACAGGGATGCTGCAATTGCCTTTAACAGAGCTGTGAAGAGCATCAATGCCATAAAGAATCTGACAGCAGCCTTTATTGGAGGTGATTAAGAGACAATGCAGTCCTTTCCCCACCTTAAAAGTAAGCAGCTGAAGAGTGAATTCAGCTGTAAATACTTAGAAATAGTGCCCGGTTCAGAGGCAGTGG